GTAAATCAAAATTAGCAGGTAAACTCACACTGCAACAACAAAATAACAGGAATAAATGAACACTGTTCATTAATAACTAAATATCAATGCTCTGAATCCCCTAACCAAAGGACACAGACAAATTTGACCATAAAATAGGATCCATCTTCGTGGTGTGTCCAAAAAACACCTGATCATCAGAAAGAGGAATCGCCGGACCAACTCCTCACTAGAGAAGCTTATAGCAGTAGAAAGGAACTCACAGAGACCCACAACTAGACAGTGTGCTGAGCAAGAGACTGTGAAGCATTCAGTCCTAAATGGAGCATCGTCATCAAACCCTTCCTTCTCAAAGCTCAGGGATCTCTGTGGAAGAGGGCACAGAAAGATTATAAAAAGCCAAGGGGATTGATGACTCCAAGGAAACAGAGTCTTCCAGACACATAGGACTGATGTACACCTGAACTCACAGAGACTGTGGCAGTGCTCATTAGACCTGCACAAATTCAAGCCAGACAGGGTCCCAGTGCTGAGAGGAAGAAGTGGATATGGAGCCCCACCCTTAACATGAAGCTCTTTGTAGAGATCCTCTGATAAAGGGAAATTAGTTTTCTCCCTTCAAGTGTTACTGGACATATCAACTTCAAAGTAGACTTCATGCCCAGGAGTGGTTGGCTAACTTGAAATGAAGCCCATGTTGTTTGTTTTGGGGACTTTTTGTCTCATTTTGTTTCATTTGGGTATTTTGTTAGTTTGATTTATTGGTCTTTGGCTATTTGTTTACTAATTTTTGTGTGTTTTATGGTTTTACTTTTATTTTTTTGAGAAAGCGTATTAAATTGGGTGTGGGAGATCTAGGAGGAGTTGGGGAGGGGACACATAATGAAAATATATTGTATGAAAAAATTAAATAAAAAATAGTGTTTAAGGAATAAATAAAGCACAAAACATAAACTAGGCTTTCACTTAATCCTGAATCTACAGTCAAGAATGGTCATGGGACACGTGCTGGCCCATCAGTGTAAATTTGAAATTCTTGCACAAAACAATCCCTGCTTCCACACTGGCTGAAGAGTCCTTTAACCCTGGAGCGCCTAGCGTGAGTTTAGGGTCAAGAGGTTGTGAACACATGGAAGCAAGTGACACTGGGGGGTTTTGGATGTAACTGGGAGATAGAAAGAAATTTAAGCCATAGACCTTTGGTTTGGTTCTTTGTCCCTCTGTTGTAAGACCTCCCAAGACACCACTCCCTGGGCATTCTTGCTACTGCACTGGCTAGTACTAGGTATATATATACATATATCGCAGGTTTTGTTTATCACTTCACCATTACAGAAGCTTCAAGAAATCAAACATTTAATTTCATTACTATGAACATTTCAAGTGATTAGAACAGAATCTGGTTCTGTGAAAGAATTCACTCAGTATTTTTTAAGTAAATGAATGAATAAAGATACAAACCATTGGAACTTTCAGGACAAGCCTCCCTTGAAACCATAATTGCCTATGGACATGAAGCCAGTTGAACTCACAAGTTCACACTGACATTAAAAGAAGGGAGTTGAGATGTGTGACTGGTGTTCAAAAGTGCTTTCACTGATATGCACTTCAACAATTTTTCGTGGTTGGTAGTAAGTTCATTCTTCATTGTGAAATATTTATTGTTTTTTATATACTTTAAGATGATCAAAAATATTACCAAAACAGTTTCTAACTTAATGTTACCTAATGTTTCCAACTCAGAGAATAGAGGTGTCTTGACAGACAGGTCATGTGAAATCATTTAACTTTGAATTTCCAGTGTTTCTCTCAGGTTGGGAATACGCTATACATATTGAATTTAAATATGCTTTATGTTTTGAAGCTTAAAACTGATTTGAATCTTGCTTTTTCCTAGCCCTTAAATTTGATGTGAAATAAATGTTTTCAAATTTTTTTACCTGAAAAATACAAGCAATATCTTAATAGCTGGGCTATGAAATTGGCTTAAAATTTAAAATCAATGTATTTATAATAGGTTCTAAATTACAGTAATTGCTAAGTAAATGTTAATTATTCTTGATGATGTTGTAATGGGACATGTCTTTTCTATTTTATTCTCTCTCCTATGCTCTATATTTTTGAAGATATACCCAGAGCAATTCTCCTTCTAACAAATAATTTGTAGAACTTAGAACCACGTAGCATAGTTAATGACTTCAATAATAAAAGTCCTCTGGTGTTTCCATTTTCCCATGTTTATGTCTTTCTGTTTTATGGGAACTGAGAACTAAAGCAAATCTCTAACATCCCAACAATAGAAAGATTCTAGTGATTATGGTAAGAAGAGATTCAATGTTTGTAGTATGAGGGCTGGCTTGTTGGGGTTTCTGTCCTTCCCAGTACCCCAACAGCCGGCAAGCAACAAAGAAAAATTACACACAGGACTCCATAAGGTTATAAACTGATTGGCCCATTAGGTCAGGCTTCTTGTTAACTCTTATAACATATATTACCCCATTATCCTTATCTATGTTAGCCACATGGGCTCAGTACCTTTCTCAGTGTGACAGCTTACATGTTGCCTCTTCGGTGGTCTGCGCAGGAGTGGCCGAGAGAGAGCTTCTGCTTCCAGAATACTCCCAGTCTCTTTGCTCCACCCCTACTTCCTGTCTGGCTTTCCTGCCTATACTGCCTGCCTGGCCAATCAGCGTTTTATTAAAATATGATTGACAGAATACAGATAATTCTCCCGCACCAAATGTTAAACAGCCCAATGTGGTAGAATTTTAGTAATCCAGTCCCTGTATTGATTGTTTTCCACCTTGGATGATGCCACCAAGATTACAAGCTTGAAAACAACATAATTATGAGGTTTCATGAGAAATTTTCCTAATGTCTTTATGTTATAAATGTGCTATTGTGGCCACCTGCAAATAGAGCAGAGTCATATGCCAAAGATATGTAGTCTTTTCATAAATGTCCATGGAGCAGGTAGCAGAAGCTCAGAAGTGTAAGTGATCTTGAGTATCTTCTACAATAAATGAACTCTGAAAGTTTGTGTATGAAATCAAGCAACTTCAAACTGAATGATAAAGAGACTACTTAACTAAATTCCAATGACTCCTCAAGTCTGAGAATCTTTTTGTAATGCAAAGTATTTATCTTTTTGCTTAAAAATCAACTTTTTGCACATTTAGTTGTGTTGCTTTTAACTGAAGTGCACCTGTACTAGGTAAAACCCCTGGTGGCCTGGGGCTGCTGTGCCGGGTCTCCCGCTTACGGTCACAGCAAGGATTAGATACAGAAATGCTGGGCTGTTCGTTCTCTCTGACTCACTCAGTATCAAATCCTAAAGAGTCCAGTGGGTTGGGTCATCCACTTGGAAAGAGACTTACCCTTTTCTGTTCATTATTCCAGTGCTCAAACATTTTATGTTTAAAACAGATTAGGCAACACAGCTCTCAACTTCTCTGGGTAGCTTCATGGTTTGTTGATGCTTCACAACCTTTCCCTGGGTTCCCTTTGTTTTGTTGTTGTTTGGTTGGTTGGTTGGTTTCATTGTTGTTGCTGTTGTTTTTGTCCCATTTAAAGCACATCAGAATGTATAATCACAAATTACCTGTGCATTTTCCTGCTTAACATCCATCTCCCTCACTAAGCTATCAGCATTAATTATGTTATTTTTGTTTACAGCCGCACTTTTCTCAGTATTTATTATACTGCCTGGCACATTGTAACTATTTAGTCAGCATCAGTTGAAAATACAATGAGTTAGAAAACAGTGAATGGTTTGGAGCTATCCACTTCCCGTTTACATAATCTTTTGAAGGGACCTTAGTCACCTTGAGATACCTCTTTAACCTTCTTCCATTTCCCAAGTTTCTCACTTTGACTTAATGCCATTGGCTTTTTGCTGATTCTTAAAAACTTTAGTCCTTCTCTTGCTGTTTCCTCTGACTGGCACATCTTCCCTGTATTAGTGTGACTATCCTTCCTTTCATTCAATTCTATACACAAATCACCTCCCTAGAGACCATTCTGTTCTCCCGTGAGGAGTGGCCCCTCACGTCCTTGTAACTTCTGTTCCTGCTCATTGTGCTCGTCATTGAACTGTGCTGGTCTATGTATTCACTGACTATCTTAGCATTAAATATGTGACTCTGAATAGTGTGGGCAGAAAAAGAAACATGGTCATTCTTTCTTTATTTTATTTTTTAATTAAAAATTTCCCCAATAGCTAGGTGTAGTGGTGCATGCCTTTAATCCCTGCATTTGGGAGGCAGAGACAGGCAGATCTCTGTGAGTTCCAGGTCAGCTTGGTCTATGAAGAGACTTACAGGACAGCCAGAGCTATTACATAGACAAATCCTGTCTTGAAGACAAAACAAACAAACAACAAAAGAATTGTCCCCAATAATTGCTTGCAAACAGAACAGGTTAATTTGATGTTACCTTAATATAATTTTACAAAGTTATGTAGCCACAATATCTGTACCCTTATTTATTTGTGTGCCAAGATTAAATTTTTCTATAATATAATTTATCTTTAGTTACCTTAAAACATATTAATAACAGATTGATGTCATGTTCCAACCACCCACCACCAACAGAAGATGTGTTTGTTGAGTCCCATCCCCAACAGATGTATTTGTTTAGTCTCATCCCAAACAGAAGATGTGTTTGTTGAATATAATCCTAAATTACTTTGGATCTATGCCTGATGCTATCTCCTCAATTATAATAAAAAAGTATTCTAAGCTGTGATTCCCCTACTTTTAAATATTCATTATATTTAGTTTGATTTTGTCACCTCTTCTCTAAACTTCTATTGCTAATACAAATAGAATGATATAATAAATATTAAATAAAATGTAGTTTACTTGAATGTTATGAAATTTTAACTTCCCAAAGAATACAAATAAATTTTAAAAAGCATATCAGGAGATTACATTGTTTTGGTGAAAAACATAAATAATATGTTTTATTTAAATATTTTTTCTGAAATTATTTCAAAATGTTTTGTCTCTTTGGCCTCTTAGGTATTTGACTATGATTTTGGACTGCAAGATGACTTTATGGGCTCAGCCTTTCTCGATCTCACACAGTTGGAGTTAAACAGGTAATTCTCAAAAGTTGTAACATTGCTATGCCTCCTTACAATGTTGGGCTGTGAAGCAGGGAACACCAGTCAGTACAGACTCCAGACAGTGTCCTTTGTCACCAGTTGGGAGTCTCCAACTCTCACCCTTTTCTACTTATCCATGAGCTTCCAATGCTTTCCCTGAGTTCCTCATTCAATAGCAACTATTTTCTTAAAAAGCATTATTGGCTAGCTTCCCTGTCCCCTAGCAGCATGCTAAAAGAGAAAAGATACATTCCTTAATCTCACAGTTTAATTGGAATTTGGCTTAAAGATTGTTAATTATTACTAAAGAAGCAAGTGGATACATACTTTGCCTCAAAAACAACAAATTTCTCATCACTTAAACCATGATAGAACCGACTTTAGCCATCACCAGATTGCCAGATATAGGGTACCAAGTAGTAGAGGTAGATTGGTTATTTCTGCTTAGTTTCATTATCTTGACAACCTGCAAAGTTATACATGATTTTACTAGTCGTACTCAATCTAAGCCCCTCACAATGGGCGTGGGGTTTTCAAAATGTGTTTTATTGTAGGAACTAAGAACTGGCTGGAAGAGAGAGAGAGAAAGTAGGCTTCAAAATTAAATCTTTGGTAGTTATAAAAGGGAACTCCTTTCTTGGATGATCATGTTACATCAGGTGATGGGGAAACGGGAAAGTAGTGTCATGGGAAAGACCTCTATTTCCATTTTATATGACTACAAATAAACAGATGAATGTACATGGGAGAGCCTCTTTCTATGCTACAGTAAGCTAATTTTGAGCTCAGACAAAGTATTCATCTTCCAAAGACTAACTGATTAAGGATTTGCTGTTTTTGTATGGGGTGAAGCAAAAAAAAAAAAAAAAAAAAAAAACCAGCCTTTGCTGCCTTCCTACAGTTCATCGATTCTAACATTGGTTCGAACTGAGGGTGGAGTTTCGGTGACTACTGGTTTCCCTACTCTAAGGAAATGTTCTGAGCAGTGGCGTCTGGTCTGTTATCACAAGCACTGATACGAAATCAAATGGACTCTGCTGTTCTTTTCAAAGGCTACAGTTACATTCGATATAAACCTCTGATCAAATTATATGCAAATTCTAATTCTTAAAGCATAAATTTGTCTTGTTTCCTTTTAAAAAATAAATCACTGGCGAAGATAATTTTAAATGAAGAATTGTGAAATTAAACAATAACAAACTTAAAGATATAAGCAAAACTTTCATGTATACTTAATTACGTTGTTTATTTTGGGTAACTAATTAGCCACCACCACCCTAAGGCCATGTACACATCAGATTACCACTTTGTGACCTCACAAGCTTTAGTATCATTTCAGCTTTTCAAAACGAATATTAATAATAGCCATGCAAATATGTGCTGCTATAAATGTATTTGAGTTTGTCCTTAAAAGAAAATAGTAATAATTTAGTTTTATTCTTTTACACGTAGCCATCCAGTTTTACTAGCCAGGAAAATAATAATAAAAAAAAAACAGTATAAAGAAGGAGGCAGGTGACAAAACCCAACAGGAAATGAGAGCCTTGGCATGTGATAGCTTCTGGGAGAGGAAAATCAAGTTTCTTTAATGATAAAATACTCTCCAATGCGTGTTTAATTTCATGTGTCACAGTTTTTTCTGTCAGTTGTATAAGCATTTATTGCTTAATAACTTGATAGCAATTAATGTATTAGAAGAATATATTCCTTGTTAACAGATTTTAATGTATTTTTAAAAATTTACTGTAGATATTTTCCTCTTTAGGAGTATTATTCAAGCTAAACGACATAAATATTTTTACTTTATTTTGTATTTTATTTTTTATTAAGAATTTTTAATACCGTCTTTTTTCATTTTACATAGTTTTCCCGTTCTCACTCCCTCCCCTTCTCCCACTTCACCCTTCCCTACAGCCCCCATCCATGCCTCAGAAAGGGTATTCCTATGGGGAGGCTGACACTTCACTTCGAGGCAAGACTGAGGCCTTCTCCCCTATATCTAGACTGAGCAAGATACCCTCAAAATGAGTGTGTTCCTAGATGCCAGCTCAAGTGCTCGGGATAAATCCTGGTCTCACTGCAGTGGCCCCACAGATTGCCCAAGCATTCAGTGGGCCTCGCTTGGTCCTGTGTGGTCCCCAGCTGTCAGCACAGAGTCAGTGAGCTCTCACTAGCTCAGGGCAGCTGTTTATCACCATCCTGATCTTGACCCCTTTGCTCGTATTATTGCTCCTCCCTCTCTTGAACTGGTCTGTGGTAAAAATTTACCCAATGAATTCAGGCACTTCCATGGACATACCGCTTATTAGATGATTTCATCAGTGGTGGTATTTTGATAACAACAAAAATTTCACTGAGAAATCAAAAGAGCAAAACAATTCTTAAAACAATGAGTTATTGATTAAATTAATTTTGGGGTAATGCACTCAATGACCATTCCCAATCTGAATGTTTTATATCACAGGTCCACGGATGTGACCTTAACTCTGAAAGACCCCCATTATCCCGACCATGACCTCGGAATCATCTTGCTGTCAGTCATTCTTACCCCTAAGGAAGGTGAACCCAGGGATGTGGTAAGTCTTCTGGAGCTCTTCTCGCTCCCACTTGCTCACGTGCTGAGATCCTCCTCAGGGCATCGAGGGACAATAGGGAGCAGATGCGGGTGGAACTCTAGCTGGGAGCACCCTGGGCAGCTCTCATCCACGCTCATTTTGTCTTTTCCACTCAGATTTCCTGTCCTAGGCTCCAGATTAGAACCTCTTGCTGTAAATAAGTAAACTTAAACCCCCTTATAATTTTATTAATTTTAGACAGGTTATATTGTAGGTAAATACTAATATTTTTCAGGGAATATATTGATTAGTGACTTGAATTCCTAATAAGATATTATTTTGAATTCCTAATAAGATATTTTGACTATATTGCCAAAATGTGTCATGACAAGGAAACTAAGGTCAAATTATGACAGAGTTTCTGCTTTCTGGTGGTTGTTAACTGAGTAAGTGTGTAGTCTTCATGTCCTTGATGAGTTTCCGTAGTGATACATCCCATATCTCAGCATCAACTGTTTGTACTTCCTTACACACCGTGCTGCTCTGAGAAATAAACAGTGACTCCAGAGGGAGCTGTGCGTCCTGCACTGTTGAAGTGACATCAGGTGTGATCCATGCCAGTGTGCTTGCCAGTAAACCAGGGGTTCACACTGGTGTGCTTGCTGGTGGAGTTTTGCCACAGTTTGCCAGAGATTGATTGTTAGGCTCAATATTTGTATACTCCTAGGGACTACTGCAGCTCTGGTGTGATTTAGTAGTAGCTATAATTGTTAGAGGCTCCCAAAGGCCCTTTCAGCAATACCTATATTCCTGTTTTAAAATAATGTTACAGTCAGCTTGGTGTATATCATCTACTACATTGTTGACATTTTAATCAGGATTGTGGCTAAAAATCATAGATCCCAACTTCAAAACTTGAAGTTTTTCTTTAACTCACCAGAAAAAAAAAATTTACTCCTTTATGAAGAATTTCTTTCTATCTATAAAAGTTGAAGAATGGCATACAAAGTCATGTGTATTATTTTAAAACTTTATTTAGTGAGGAAAATTTACCTTTCCAAATATTAAGAAGTCTTAATACATAGCTCCTGCTGTGAGAACATGGCTTGATGTGACTGCATTTACATGTGAACAAATGGAAGTAGCTGAGGAAGAATATGGCATGGTGTGACTGCATATGCATGTATGTAGATGGAGGTAACTGAGGAAAAACATGGCATGATGTGACTACATTTACGTGTATGCAGATGGAGGGAGCTGAGGAAGAACACGGCATGATGTGACTGCATATGCATGTATGCAAGGAGGGAGCTGAGGAAGAACATGGTGTGGTGTGACTGCTTATGCATGTGTGCAGATGTAAGGAGCTGAGGAAGAACATGGAGTGGTGTGACTGCTTATGCGTGTATGCAGATTGAGGGAGCTGAGGAAGAACATGGCATGGTGTGACTGCATATACATGTGGGCAGATGGAGTGGCAGCAGAGGAGGAATATAGTCTGCTGTGACTGAGTATGCACAGCCCTTCTGTGAGAACATGGTGTGAATGAGTACACACACGGACGGTGTGAATGAGTACACACACGGACGGTGTGAATGAGTACACACATGGACAATGTGAATGAGTACACATAGCCCTGCTGTGGATGAGGACACACAGCCCTGCTGTGAGAACACGGTGTGAAAAAGTACACACAGCCCTGCTCTGAGAACAAGGTGTGAAGGAGTACACATAATCCTGCTGTGAGAACATGGTATTAATGAGTACACACAGCCCTGCTGTGAGATCACAGTGTGAATGGGTACACATAGCCCTGCTGTGAGATCACGGTGTGAATGAGTACACATAGCCCTGCTGTGAGATCATGGTGTGAATGAGTA